AAGAAGCGCGATATTGTTCTTGTTGATAGTACCATAATGCGTTACCATATAATTTTCTGGATCCAACTCCGTAAATGTGAGAGACGGAGCATCTACAGTATGAGACTCTCGTCGCGCAACTTTCAAGGACTGAAGTTCTTGATACATGTCACATATGTACTTGCTAGCGTGACAATTGCGTGCCCAATGACCAAGTCTACCACACTTATGACAATTACCCTTGATCTCAAGAGACAAAGGTGACTGAGACTGATATCGTGATCAAGATTGAAATCGAGACTGAGACTGAGGAGGTTTGTTGCCATACCGCTGAGACCTGTTGGACAGGTTGTGCCTCCAATTTCCTCGTGGTGTGCATTTGGGTGCAGCAGGAACATGGGATTTGTCGTTTGTACCTCCGGATCTTGAAGTTGAGCTGGTCCTGATATGCTTCAAGGCCTCCGTATTGTGAATTTCTCTTACAGGTCGAGTCTCAGCTGTCTTAAGTAAGAGTTGTTGTTGCTTTTCAGCAATCATCAGGTATCGCATTCAATCAGCATGCTTGGTGAATTTCATATTGCGATATTGTTGCGATAAGATGGCACATGCAGGAGTAAAAGTTGAAAGTGTCTTAGCTATCATTTCGGCGTCGGTGATGCCTTGGCCACAGATGCGGAGCTGGGCAACGATATGGTGCAGTTATGAATCAAAACTATGAAAATCCGGGAAGTCGAGGACTTGGAGACTCAACCAATCTCCGGGCTTGTGGTGAGATGATCGTTTCTTCATGTCGGAAGCGTGATTCGAGCGCCGGCCATAGGATTGTCGGATCCTCCTCGTGTATGTACTGCATCCGTAACGACGGATTGAGATGTCGAAAAAGTACCAACAATGTCTGCCACTTGTGCGTCGGTTCAATCGGTTTCTCCAAGTTCGGGCGCAGCGTGTAGATCAGTTCTTCGGCGGAGAGATACGTCGGGATGTTGAAGTGTCAATCTAGAAAATTCGTCCCATCAGATGCTAAAGGTTTGAAGTAGAGCGGAGTGATTCTGCTGTACTTGGATTGTGCTTCTGTCGTTACAGTGAAGATGATTATCTACTCCAAGAACAAAGAGACTCCTTTGTACACAAGATTCATAGATACTTGCGTGCAACAAAATCGCCAAAGGTACAACTGAAAAAGAGAGAAAGTAGAACAAGAAGAGAAAAGTAGGACAAGATCGGCAAGACTTCCTATGCTTAGTGGGACTGAAGCAACTGCAGCGAAGATGGCGTTCTAAGTGCGTCAAAATTGGAATCATTGCCACAAACTTCACAATGAGCTCATCTGCCAACAAAGAAACCTATCATCAAGCTCTAGACCAAGAACACAAAGTTGTTGACGATCTTTCAGCCCTTCTTCACCCGATACCAAGCCCTGTTGGATGTTAACTACAAACAGAAAGCTAACAAACTGACAGGTGCAAATAGAAAGCTGACAAGAGCGAGCGTGCTGATAACGTGTTGTGAGAAGGAAAACTGAAAGAGAACAAAATAGTGAAACAAAAGAAACAATGCTCTCGGATCTCTCCCTCTTGACAATGCTCTCAATAAATACTCTCAAAGTAAAGTATATTGGATGACCTCGGAGGGTGTTACAATTCCATATTTATATGGAAGTGAGGGTTAGTGTACCCTTTATTGATAGAGATACTTGCGGTTAGAAGTCTCGATGCTTCTTAGGCTTACGGTAAACCCTCCCTTCCTTTAGAGATACTATATCAGTAGGGTTAGGATAAATCCTTCATATATTTAAAGATACTTGCGGGTAGAAGTCTCGATGCTTCTTAGGGTTAGGTTAAACCCTCCCTTCCTTTAGAGATAGTCTATCGGTAGGGTTAGGGTAAACACTCCCTATATTTAGAGATAACCTATCTCAACAAATTTAATGATGTTTAGGTATATCCACGCTGCGTCATATAGTCGCCTAAATTAAGCATGCTTGATAATATCCTTATGTTTCATATTATATAGTTCAAAAGAAAAGAATTTAATAATCACATTGATAATATATCTTAATAATCACAATGAAATTTTAAAACGTATTCTTTTAATATCATTTCAGTTATAATAGTATTCAATTGTGATTGTATATTGTATTTTTTGTTGTTTTTGTTTTCAATTGTTTCCTTAAACATATTTTTTTGTGATATACAACTACAATTAATATATCTATCATTGGAATCATTTTTATACAAAAGAACTTAGTGAAAAAAAATTTGACCTATATGAATTTTTTTCAATAATTTTTGAAGCATGACACAATTACATTGAAATATAATATGATAATTATCATTATAGATAGTATAGAATATATAAACACAACATTTTTCTATTTTAATTTAAGAATCTTATACATTAAGTAGTTCAAAAAAATTACAACAAAACTTATAATTCAAAATCAAAACGATTTGATTGGTAGATGGTTGAAGATCATACAATAAGACAAAAACTTTGTACACATGGAGTGGTAAATTTCTCAGAGAATTCATGAATACCAAAAAATTTCAAAAAAAAATGGTCGTGATATAAATAAGTGAAAAATGAGATCTTTAGCATTTTAGCATGTATAACATATTCATTTTGGCGAAAAAGATAAAATTAAAGAAGAATAAAATTTTAGTCTTCACATTCAAGATGAAAGAAAAAATTTCAAAAGAAAATAAGTGATAATTATTCATAGAGATTTGGGGAAATAATTATTTATAATGTAAACAATAATTTTCAAAGTGTTTTACATAATTTTAACATGAAGGACTTACATTTTTGATTTTTTTCACAATACATATTAAACTTGTGCAACTTATCCAAAAGATAACATTAGGAGAAAAAAAATTACTTTATATATTGTGAGAAGATGTGGATAAACTAATGTTTCTGAAATTATTAATATGACCTAATGTTGAGTTAGTTATGAATAAATGAAATAGTTACATCTCAAATCCAAGAATAGTGTATTTGGAATGCTTATACTAAATCAACTCAAGATTGGTAAGAATTAGAAAAAACTCATGTAGACAAAGATATAGATGAGATCAAATATTGCTCTATTGATGTCCAAACTAAGAAGATAGAGTAGTCTCCCACCTAAATAACCAACTTGAATATGGAAAGATTGTGTGTATTTAGCCAGCAGTTACTTTAGACGTATCATTTACTAATCGTTTGATTCCACAGCAAAGTCGAAGAGATCTTAATTAAAGTCTGTATGAATTCTAGAGATGGGATATACAGTAATAGAGAAGCTAAATAACACGGATGCTCCCAGTAGAGTTACCTAGCGCGAGTATAATGTTAGCGAAGCAATTGTCAAAAGTGTGTGGTACAAGCCAAAGCGATTTGATTTATATTTGAGGATTGAAGAGAAGACTCTTCAATCCTTTGTTGGTTGTTTTACTGAGCTTGAAGCAATGCTTTAAATCTACATTGACAACATGTGTAGTACTAATCACCCTCGTCATCTTTTGTCATCGTCAAAGCAAAAAGTATTGCATAAAAATTTATCAGTTTTGAAAATGTGGACTTTAAAGCATACTGGTAATGGCTTAGTCAATTCACAATTTGCCTAGGGTTGCAAAAGATGTTGCTTCACGGAGAGGGATCTGAAGTAAACAAAACATATACTGGATTGCTAGAACCTTTAGACAAACTGTACATGTTCTGTGCCAATATGATCATACAAAAGTTTACAGTAAATACGAGATTGGCTTGGTTTTTTGCCTCTCACCGATATACAACCTTCTAATGATAGATCAAGACATATCAACTACTAGCAAAAGAAAAAAATAGCCAAATGTTGAAATTCCAGACACAAGAATCTTCAAAACTTGAGCCTAAAGAGAATCTATGACATGTTGAACTAAATATTTCTAAGCTTCACTTTTTTTGGTAAACAATGTGTACTTAAATGGGAGGATACTATACATTTTAAAATATGTATGTAGAGTGTTCAAGAGGAATAAGAATTATGATATTATTTGTGATGATTTAATAGACAATGTCTTTTACATGTTGGATTTACTTGATGATGATTATGAATCGGAGAAAAAAAATACTAAAAATGTGTTTACATTCCGGAAATATTAATAATTAATTCCAACGACACTTGAAAGTATAATCCCATTTTGAAATTTTCTCAACATGTATCTCTATCTTGCTTCTTTTTTCCTATGACTAGTTTAACGAGAGAAAATTTCTTACGCACTTAATATTCTATAAAATTATCATCTCAAGCATTTTCCATAAATCATTTTTTTACTTCACATGCCTGACATTGTTTTCCTATTTTTTAGTCATCTCATAGAGGTTTGAAAGATAAAGTATATTTTGCAACATTAGTGTGTTATATTGTTTTTCTCAGCTTAATTAGCCAACTTTTTACATTTTGCAGAGACTAAACTATTATTTTCTCTAGTGTAACTCCGATTGGGTGGCAGTTACTAAATCGTAGTTTCTCCTGTAACAATTACAGTAGAATGGTATGGGTGATTCTGTCGCAATGATAACGCTTAAGATTTTATCAGTGGTGAGTAAATGGTTAGGTAGATGTTTTTTTCTTTGCCTTTCCACCAATGTGCATGCCATTGATTTTGATGATTCTTTTCGAGAGTGTTATTTTCATTATTGCGAAATTTCGAAGCTTTTACAGGAAAATATGATAGTTTTTTTATAATCGTCAAAGTAACGGGAAACGTTAGATTATGTTTGTTAATTTTCAGTTCATTAGCTGAAATTAATCCAAACTTATAAAATTTCTCTCTTTCAATTCTGTGTCGAAGATGTTTAAACATTCCATAATCAGCGCATAAAACACGCGTTTATTTCATTCTTGTGGTGAAGATTCGTGGTTAGTTTTTGATTTTCTAACTCGGATTTCGACTGTCAGATAACAAACCTTCTGACAAACTTTAAACTGTGAAAACGGTAAATATGGCGGAGAACAACATGGTGAGAGGTGAGATTAAGTGATACATTACGTCCATATGAACCGTGCTTTTTACTTCTCTACTTTCCGAGAGAGCACATTGTATTGTAGCCAAAAGGTTTAATTACATTTACCTCAAATTCACATGCCAGGAAAAACATTGCATACAGTATATGTACTAAGCCACCAACAAGAGTCGCATTCAAACCAACTATTCAAGCGTTCCAAATAACTGATGGCCACTATATATCGGCAACGGCCTCTGACAGTAAAGCAGGAACTTAACGCCCACACTTTCATGTTCGAGAGCACTTCGCTTTGAACAAAGAATTCACATGACGCCATCGACGACGTCCTTGCCAACCTTTCAGAAGTCCAAAGAACTGTTCTTACATACTTGATGTGACCTTCACGCGACTGGCTAACTTTTGTCCCAATGACTTGTCACACTGCACGGGGGACAGTAAAGAACATATTATTCATGAGAGACATATACATTATAACCATCCGTAGAGACCCAGAAGAGTATAAAACAGCAGTGGGCAAGTATCAGACTGAAAACTGAACATAGTTCTTGGTAAGCAAAAGAAAGTAGTACATACCTGTGCCCAGTAACCCAACCAGATATTTCGAACCTCTTGTGTGACTCTAGCATCCGACAAGTTGTCCACCCATTGTTTCACAAAGCGCTCTTGCCTGCAGCAGAACAAATATGAAAACATGTGAACAGATTCGGTTGTTATTATTCAGAAGGAATTACACCTGCTCCATAATCACGAACTCACAATCGCCGAGATCATTAACTTTAAAGAGTTAGGTCATAATGAAATTACCTGTCGGGTGCCCACGATCTGTACCTTGCTCCAGGCTGGGCGAAGTTGTTTTCTTTCTCAATCATAACCTGAATAGAGGCAGATCATCACATGTCCATTCTCGACAACGTATGAGCATTCAAGCACAGAAGAAACCCACTTCTCGAGAAGAAGGATTTGAAAACGTGGTTACAGAGAAGTAGATGACAGCCATATCTTGTAAATGGTCAGTGGACTGACCATTTACAAATGGTACAAAAATGTCACAAGTGGCACTGACCTTTTCACGTCGACCTGTCAGAACATGAGAAGGGATTGGCACTTTCTCCGCGTGTCGGACTGGGTCGAAACGTGATGGGAAGTAGTTCACCTGCAGTACAGATACTCAGAATGAGCTACGAAATAACGCGTACGTCATGATACAATGGATCGACAGGACTGGACATAGACATGTATGACTAGTAATGGATCACTTCAGAACACGTTAAATTGAGTTCAGGTCAAGAATCTGGACATACCTCCTCGTCTCTGTGCATGAAATTCATAGAACCATCGTGATGGTTGTTGTGATAAGCACATTTAGGAGCATTCACTGGCAGCATGAGGTAGTTAGGTCCCAGTCTGTGACGCTGAGTGTCGGCGTAAGAAAAGATACGGGTCTGGAGCAACTTGTCGTCTGAGTAGTAGACACCAGGAACAACAATTGCAGGACAGAAAGCCAGCTGCTCGTTTTCTCCAAAGAAGTTGTCGATGTTCTTGTTCAACACCATACGTCCAACAGGCTGCATAGGGAACATCTCCTCGGGCCAAACCTTAGTCACATCAAGAGGATCAAAGTCATAGTTGTTCTGAGTGGCAGGGTCCATGGTTTGAATGTACAACTTCCACTCAGGAAAATCACCAGCTGCAATTGCGTCTGTGAGATCCTGCGTTGCGTGGCTGTGGTTGGTTCCTCCAACCACGACGGCTTCCTCGGGCGACAAGCATTTCACTCCTTGTGATGGTAACCAGTGAAACTTCACGAGTGTTGCCTTTCCAGCTTTGTTAACCAAGGTAAAGGTGTGAACACCAAAACCCTCCATGTGCCTGTAGTTCAATGGGATACCGACATCATCAAAGAGGAAGGTAAACATGTGCAAACTCTCAGGGTGGTGAGAGAAGAAATCGAGAATCCTCCAGATTTCCTGGATATGGTTCTTAGGGTTGGGCTTCAGAGCGTGAACCATGTCGGGAAACTTCATTCCATCCCTTACGAAAAATACGGGCATGTTATTTCCCACCATGTCGAAGTTACCCTGCAACGTTTCCAGTCATCCACAAGTAAGAATCCCACACCAGATTTTACATGAGAGATGACCCATTTCTAAGACTTCAGAAAGTTCACTTTTGTCCTCGTAACAGGGCGGAAGCTCAGAAATATGTGATAAAGTGATCATACTTTGATTAAATGCCCCAAACAAAAAGAACAAGTTTTTGGATGGAAGTGAGTCATATCTACCGATATGGTCGGTGCAAAAATGACTGGATTCATACCTCTCTCGTGTAGAACTTCACGGCAAATCCACGGGGGTCCCGAATAGATTCAGGACTTCCGCGCTCATGAATGACAGTGGAGAACCGGACAATCAGGGGTGTTTGTACCCCTGGTGCCCTCAGGAAATCGGCACATGTCAAGTGAGAAATGTCATGAGTCACTTCAAAGAATCCCTTCGCCGAGGCTCCTCGAGCATGCACAACTCGTTCCGGAATTCGCTCTCGGTCGAACTGGGCGATTTTCTCAATTAAGTGGTAGTCCTCCAACAAAATTGGCCCTGCAATCAGTCAATACATATATTACTTGTGTGTAGAACGATCACATATGAGAGTCTTCCCCATGGCTTATTGATATCACTAATGCTCTGACAGCTACAGAAATCAAAGACCAACGGATTTCATCAAGGGGTTTCTACATCACTACAGAACGGTTGTGCCGTTTATACAGGTCCAAAGACAGTCAACTATATAACAAGACTGAAGCTCCTAATGTCCTTTTGCTAGCAGCTCGCAGCCGGTTCTCATTAATAGTGATGAAAATCCTTCACGCACCTCGTTCTCCAACGGTGAGAGATGCATTGTTGTTCCATACAGGAGCACCCGAGTTGGTGGTGAAGTAGGGCGAGTTGTGAGCGCTGGATGGTCGAAACTATACAAGCAGAACGAAGCTCTCACTGATCAGTTTAGCGCTGCAACTCACGTCCTTTGGTACAACAATAATTTCTTAAATTTGTTGTAGCGACTTCCTCATTTGAACTGAGATCCATGTTAAAATGTCAACAACAATTAGTCTACGACTGATTTCGGAGCAGAAATAGTAATAGTTGACAAGGAGCAGACGATGGTCCAACAAGAACCCGTCAGCATGCAGGTAACTAACAGTGTATTTCCTGGAATTCTAGTACGGCTAATTTCTAGTCACCTCAATTCCAAAGGCTCCAGGCAAGTTCTACCTACGTCCTACTTTACAGAGTGTGTGTCAGAGCTTGCGCCTTGAAACTCGCTTTCTACAGGCTTGGGGCAGGTATTTATCCAGAACAGTCCGTCTTGCAGTCAGACTGAGATGTCGTCCCTTTCTGCCGGATGAAATCATCAATTGCATCCTTTAGAGAGGTGCATCCAAGAGAAGGAATATCTCATGGGTACAGCCAGAAAGTTCCCCGCATATCAACAGTCAGTTCGAGCAAATTCTCGTCCATTGTCTGGAATAGCCCAATAACTGGATATAAATCAAATCTCAGGAGTACACAGCATATTTTAGCGTCTTCCTACCTCATTCAAGCCGGACTACAAGTTTTACCAGCAGGATGAAATTTGAGCCATTGGAATGGTGTTATCGTCTACTGATCAACTCCACGAAAGCCCCGTATCCACGTCTTCATGGGTATAACGAGTTCCTCGCCTTGGATTAACGTAGTAAAGACAGACTATCCGTGATTGTTATCATTCAGAAGTCCACAGATCTTCGAATGTTGATTGTATTGGAGGACAATAAGATTTGAATAGAGATGTCAAATGATTAGTCTAAGTTCATACTCCCAGTGCGTGATAATTTTCAAAGCTCCACAGCTGGCAGATACTGTCAAAGATGTCATGCATGTTCAAAGGACGGAAGGCTCCGCTTCACACTAGTTGCGGCTTACGGCTGGAAGCAAGGAGAGACTAACAGGAAAGAAGACTCCGCACACGCTACCATGAAGAGAACAAAGAATGAGCTCCAATCTTCAGCTGAGAGCATTCGAGACGTCCGAAGTTTGGGAGAATTGGAACTAGGCAAAAAGAACAAAGTGAAAAGCTGCACGCTTGACATGGAAGACGCTTCTCCCCGCTCCGAATACGCTTATGGACTATGAGAATTAGTTAGCTCAGAAGGACTTCCGTTTACTTCCCGCTTCCGACGGACGGGCAATTCTCGTAAACAATCCGACTGACACGAATTTCGCAGCATGTCTCCTACGATCAGGTGAGGGGAACTCCAAATATGTTGGAATTGCAGGCGACATTCGCTACCCGTACAACTCGCCATGTGAGGCAGTCGTACATAAACGACACCTTCCAATCTCCTCAAAATCACGCCCTTCGCAAGATGCAATTCTCTCTCCTGTAACGGTAAGCCTCCTACGCTAACGTAGATACCGGGTGCTCAAGACGGTCATGTCACCAAGATCCACAATTTACATGGTCCTCTCGAAAGACACTCTCTCTAAAGCGGTTTAACGACAATGCATCGCGAAACCCCAATCGAGAAAATGACTGCCCATCAAAATTCACCTGACCGGTGGAAATGGCTCGAAACAATCACAAAAAGAACATGAACCAAGAAAAATCCGCGCATACCTTGTAAGGATCCATGTCGGTGTACGCAGCCTGAGCACCAAGACGGCAATTCGTTCGCTTTCACGCCCGCGAAGAATATTTGCTCGTGAGCCTGAATCTCAATCTGAGACGAGATGAGGAGGGAAGGAGGAGGAGGGCAGCGGAGGGATGCGTGTTAGCCTCGTTCCTGACACAGCCTGCGGCGGAGTCTGACTGGAGCGAGCACCTTATGGTACTGGTTGAACGACGACGCTGATAGGCCGATCACCTCACGGCCACACAAAGCGCCTCTCAACGTCGCCTTCTTTCCACAACGCGCCGGGCAGCCCGGCCAAATCTTCCCAGTCCTGAGTCCAGCCACGGCCGGAACGACCGGGCCGACTGTTGGTCGTCGCACATCCGTCATGGAGCCGCATCCGCCCCTGCAGAGGATAAGGCAGACGACGCAGCCGCGACGTGCCACATAGACTGCCAAGTGGGCGGGCGGGATCCCGTGAGACGCTGACACGTCTTCTTCCCGAGGAAGTGTCGAGGTCCTCTTCGTCGGTTCGAGACGAGCACGAAAGAAGCCCGTAAAACGATGCGTGTGGTTTTTATTGGATTACCATTGTTCGGTCCGAATTACTCCTCGGCGGACCTGTGGGCATGAGGTTCAGGACCCGTAGATACCGAGCGCGAGCAAAAGGTATGGACCACGTTGCCATGACACGCTCCACAAGTACGCACGAGGCGAATCAGCGTCCGAAAAACGTATCCGTCTGGCAGATGCTGCCTCTGGAAGTTATGTGGTTGCGCAGCGTTTATGCGTCCGGTACATGCACGGAGAATACTTGGAGTGTACGGGGAGTCACCGAAATGCTGGACGGTGGCCGACGGCGACTGGCCGTCAATTCGGCGTCAACTCTTTGGATTGGCGGGGCGGGGGTTTCCAGCTTGTGCTCTTGTTTAGCGGCAGCGACGTCGCTGGCTAAATCCGTTGTCAGACAGACACTCAGCAACTCTCTTCACGACTGTGCTGCGCCGCAGTCAACTCCAGATCTAATGAATTTTGGAGCTGCCGAGCCTGTTTCAGCAACAGACGAGTCCATATGCCAGTTAACGACCATTCGGAGATTAAAGTCCTATATTCAACATTTGCTAGAAAATGTGAAAAAAGTTCTCAAGACCAGTGGAGATTCCAGGTTTCATGAGGCCTTCACGTCCCCCAACTTCCGACTATCCGATCTATGGAACAATACTTGAAGTGAGTGGACGGTCTGTGGAACGGTAGAAGGGAGGTGTTTGACAATAGTTCTCTTCAAAGGAAAGCTAGTCCATTGTTGCATCTCATAGCATGCATTCTGCGAGAGAATGTCAAGCCCCTCGATCTGACGTTCTCTAAAATCGATCTGCACACATGATGGAGTCAATTAAGAGGAGTTTCGTTTCCAGATTCAGAGGAGGGAAGCAGAAATAGACGAACATTTGGCTGTTGTATAGTCCAGTTCCCGGGATTTGCAAAAGGACAGATGCTTAATTTCTGACGCAACCTCTAAATTGAGTGCAGCTCCAAATTTGGCGAGGATAACGAATCCACGGGAGGGTCTCGTGGACTCCACAAGCAGCGGACCCTACCGGAGGGCAGAGAGACATTTTTGCCAAGATAGTTTGTTCCAATGGATACAAATACGGACAATGAGCTCTAATGGGCAGGGTCCGAAAGTATCTTGGGGGAGTGCCCCTTGGTCGAATGTAGAACTGTGCTCCCAATGAGCAGCGTCTGTCTTTATCCTCTGTTGTACCGCAGCTTAATGTGTGGAGAGGGCTACATCACCGCGCACTCGGTCTGTATTCCACCTGGCTAGCTGAAAACGACTACGAGGAGTTTTCGTTGAATCAGACGACTTCAGCAACAGATGGAAACCACCCTTCGACGGGTGGTATTCTGCTGCTGCAAAGGACGCTCTTTTATAATGCCTCGAATGTCCGATGTGTCTCGAGCTTTCTTTTCAGGTTATATGCTCGATGACGTAGTGCTAGATTGCAAGGCCTGGAAGTGATAACCCTTGGGACTCGAAGCGACAGCGTACTTTGTAGTAGCGCAGAGCCTCGTCATTGGACCTGTTCACGGAGCTTGACTTTTCAGTCAATGTCTGACAAAACTATGTTGATACCGTAGAGAATGTGGTCGATCCCTTATGGTCTGCGGCCTTTGGGTTTCAGAGAGGCACTACAGAGGGCCATTCGTGGTTGATGGAGACGAAGGCTTGCATTTGCTCCTTGAAGATGGTGTGACTGGTGGCGAAGATACCCGTAGTGAGTGCATTTGTACCAATATCGGAAGCTGTCCACCGCATTGTCACTCTGTCAAAGGGTGAGTGAGCGTTCAAGAGGTAAATCTTTCAGCAGCATCGCTGATTAGCAAGCGCTTCTTCCTGTCAAAACGTTGTCATGGGCTGCGTCCTGCTCACATCTCACGATTTCTGGAAGTTATCATCAGGAAACTCAGATGCTCATGATTGTGAATATCCTCCTCTCGCGACGTGACGTCCAAAATTTAGGTAGGCAGACTATGTTTGCGGGTGCAGTGTCGTTGAGGCGGCTTAAAAGTGTTCGGAGAGTTAAGATTCACGACTAATTTGGAGCTATCTCGTCTCATTACAGTACGGTTTCGCATGTACAATCTTCGTCGTCCCTTCATTTTGCCACTGAGGATCGACGTCGGCGGTGGACTAGAGTAGCGAGGTAGATGGTCGGTACACAATGTCACTCATAGGTCACGCTTTGCTCTAACGTACGGTGGACTATAGTAGCGAGGTAGATGGTCGGTACACAATGTCACTAATAGGACACGCTTTGCTCTAACGTACGCTGCACACACTGATTTCACTATTTCCTTTCGATTGTAGCTTGGATGATTCTTAGTTCTCGAAAATATATTGTGGCTCGGGAGTCTGACACTCAAGCAGGATTTTTAAACCTATCAAGACCTCAACAACGTCAGTACATTACGTCTCGTGGGGCACAAGAGTGATGGGAATAGACATCTACTTGGATGGAATCGGGTGTGGGGAAAAACTATCTAATCGAACCAAGAACACAATAAGATCTGATGATTTACATGTATCGCTGGAAAAACGATTCACGAATTCAAACGCCGCGAAAATACTTTCTGACAATCCACGACATAGGATTTCTCCACACTTGAAAGTCGACTGTTGGACTGGACTCAAAGCGACTCAACCAGTGCAGGATTTTAAGATGTACAACGTACATCGCGTTTTGGCCACTGGTGGCCTACGAGGCACATGTTAGGGATCGTACAAAATTGGAAATAACTACACAAGCAAACTTCAAACCCATGGAATTATCTTTTATACATGGTGAACAATGCCAATGTTGGCGGCTACAACTAACTTCTAATCAAAACTCCACTTACAAAATTTCGCTGAACTCTGCACATCTATCTTCTTCCTAAAGGATAATTAGTGTTGAAGGAAGTTACAAACGACCCTTAAAACTTATTTGTGGAACCTCGTTAACGTTCGCATCAGCTAGATGGGAACGTCTTCGGCACCAAGATTCAGGACTGCCGGCAATCGCAGAGAACAGCTCTGCTGATTGAAAGCTACGTCCATGTACACGATGAAATCCAGGAGATTGCATTCGTACACTTTACTGCTATCAGTGCGATCACCAGGGAAGTGATCCCAAGATAAGCTGATTACATGAGATGAGACTGCTCAAAGGCACCCCAAATCTCAGCTATCTCTTCAGGAGATAAAGCTACAGAGTTCGCGTGAGGACCCGTCCTTTTGGGGGTGGAGGCGGACGAGATAAGTGGAGTAGTGTGAGCCGAAATTTTCGGGGTCGAAGGGAGAGAAGAGGTGGGAGTCGTTGGAAGAGAATCACGGAGTTTCTGCAGAAGAGATCTGCCAAAACTGGCCAAAGAATTCCCACTCCAGTTTGCAGGAGATGCTCCAGCCACAACTCTCTTCTCTTCCTCCTTTTCAGCCGCATCTAACAAAATTTGAAAGTCTTCGAGTGACAAAGCAGCGGCTTCTCGGTAGCTGTCGGGATCTCTGAGAGGCTTGGTTGAGCATGAAAGGGCAGTGCGCTTTTCCGAAGTGGTCGTGGGAAAACTCAGAGGAACCGATGCTTTTCTACCTGAATGTCCTGGTGCGATATCTGCTTTCTTCCGCACGGGCTTCAGTACATCTTCAGTCGCCTGTGCAGGTGAGACCTGAGATCATTGTACACAAACATTATTGTCAACTGCCTGCCGGCTCCTCCTCCGGTATAATATGTGAGATAAGGCCCCTCCACATACTGTGCAAGCGGAAGGTGTTCACTCTGAAGATATAAACAACAATCGGGTGGAGAAATGTAAAAGCCCCCAAAGAACCCTCAGTGTCTGGCGGTCAATCCATCACCTTCCACGTGAGAAGCTTCGAATTTCTTGATTAAGGTAGAGACAGAAACCTGAGGAATTATGAAAAACCTTTATTAATTCACTCACTTTTCTACGAATTGTGCTATGAATGTTTAGAAGAAAAAAAATCACACAAAGAAAAATCACAAATGGAAGGGACAAGAACATTCTGGAGGCAGTTGAACTCTCGAGAAGAAAAGCTGAAAACCAAAGATGATCCGAGTTAAGTACCTGAGGAGACCTAGTCCTCTTGGAACAAGGACTATCGAAGTCTAGTGAGTCGAGTTCGAAAGTTTCACTTTGACATGGATCTTGAGTCACAGATCCGAACCGCTCCCCTCCACCATTGGACTCCTCCCAAGCTTCTGATGGTGCTACCTTAACGCCATCTCTCACAGAAGGACCTAGTATACTCAAGCTCCGTGGACTCGTAACTACAGGTGATGCCTCAGACTTAGGTAGAGAATTGCGAGTTTGGACCGAGAGATCACCAAGCTTTGCCTCACTCTTGGAAAATTGGGCCACGGTGTTTGCTTCCACGTGATTGCCTTCAGAGGGTCTCACATTACTACTGAAAAGCTCGGTCAATTCGGATCCAACAATTTGCAAACCCTCCACACCGTGCCCGCTCATGCGCCTGACGTCTGATGTCACCAACAAGGTTTCGAGCTCGAAGACACCAGCGAAGGAGTTACTTGAGAAGAGCTCCTTGAACCCATACGTAGTTTGAGAATCTACGAAACAGGTCGGACTCTTACTGTCAGTGTAGCAGTCATCAATTCTATCAGGGCCAAAGCTCAGCACCACCTTTTTGGATGTCTCCAGAAAGGCCTTGACGTCTGGCGCTATCTCATTGTCTGGGGTGACAGCTTCACTCTCGTCGGCCGAAGTGTCGAGCTCGCCATCAGAACTAGCACTACCGGGGGTTGGTAACTGCAGATCCGTTGACAGTGTCTTCTCCGTCAAGCTTTTGACCTTCTTAAATGGAGATGGGCATTCTCTGGGAGACAGAGTCTGATCAACAGACTTCCTCTTCAGTTCCGGTCCCACATCCGCGCTGTCAGATTGCGAGCCTTCCCTCTCAGTGTCAAGACTAACACTGGACAATGACTTTTCGAAACGGTTCGCCAGGTCGGTTTCAGCCTCAGGCGCGAGAGTGAATTTGGTAATACCCACGGGAGATTTTTTGTCCAATGTCTTCACCGGGTTTTTTGCTGGAGACTCCTCGAACAGACAGTTCGTGTACAGTGCGCTAGCCTTCCAGTGAAGTGGTTTATCCTCCTTGCAAAATTCACCATCCATGGGCAACCTTGTTCTCACGGAGCGTGCCGTAATCGGTGTATTGCCCGGGCCGTCGTCTTCCAAGGGATATGTAGAATCACTAGAGGGTGCCTTGGACGAAGGTGTATCTGCATCAATGATGCCGACATTGGACTCCGTGTCACTATCATCTTCTACAGGATTATGTGAAGCATTGGATTCAGCCATATCTTTGCACTCCTCAAGGTCGGTGCATCTGCTCTGAGCAGCGCTTGCCTTCGACAACACTTCTTCAACCAGGGAGGTCGACTCTGGATCAGATATGGCAGACAAGATTGACTGCAGTGAGCTTCCTAAAGAGTTCGTGGAAGCATTTTTAGGCGAAGAGATAGGCGCAGGACATTTATCCGCACTCGCTGGAGACTTCATCATTTCCTCGGTGCGTTCAAGAGGCTGCTTCGTCGGTGTTCTCACAGGAGAATCCAGAGACTGAAACTCTTTTTCAGTGAGCGATGGCCGCAAAGGCCTCCTAGGAGATGCTCTACGAGGTAGCATGTCTTCGACATCTACATTCTCCCGTGACTCCTTTCGAGACTTCATGGCTTTCGGCCCGGTAACATCAGCAGGAACGCTCACGGTGACATTGACATTGGTCTCCCTCAATGCTGGTCGGGTCTGTCACAATTAACACAAAGCATAAGTACCCGCAATCAACGTTCTGAACGACTTGACGCTCTCGATAGAGATCGTTTTGACTAAGGCTTCGCGATTAGTTGATAAAATTGCGCCTCAGTGATGAACAGATTTATTCATTACAACGTAATCCTCACGGCGATTCTAGTGCTGCAGCCGATAAGCAATATGGACTAAATCAGACCTGAGATGCAGGGAGGTGATAAGAGGATTCGCAGACTTCTACTCTGGATTACTTGATGAGCGACATCTCTAATAGATTAGTGAGATGAGTGCTTCAGAGAGCCTCACCTTAGTAGGAGTATTGAATGTCAGCTTCAGAGGCTTGGCACCGACATTCTCTACGTCGTTCTCCGGTCCATTGTTCATCGTCTTAGACTCGCTGGTAACCTTGATAACCGGAGACAGCTTTTGAATAATTGCGAGAGGTTTCCTCTCAGTCGGGCATTTCGCGGTCGACGATATCGGTCTACCCCCATCTGATAGCCGTCTATATCCGCAGGTGCACTCCTTCGATTCCCTGCGCGAGCCACCACCGCTGACGAATGCAGGGCACGAGACGAGATGGCCTTGGGGAAGCGGCAGACCATAAGACCGACTGCTCGATCTGCTGATGATCACTTGGCCCTCGCTCACCACGGGCTTGTCTTCCTCAGAGGGTCCCAAGTCCTCGTACTTCACCCACCGAGTCTGGTGCGAGTTGCTGAGCCTACCTAGAGCAAACCCGACGCCATCGTCGGTCCTAACGGGAGAGCTGATGTGCTGGATCACGGTCTCCTGCAATTTATCTTTGCTCATACATTTCCCCATCTTCGAGGCCTTTCAGCTATGACAAACCTGAAGAGCGTAAGTGCAACACTCAAACTCCACCCGACCGCTCACAAACAGCCTCGCAAACCCCTCCCCTGCGACACAAAATTTCAAACTCCACGTCCCGTCGACTCGATCTGCTCTGGATGAAATCACGACGCATACTTCCCGTCCGCCAACCCGCACGACTGTGACTCCCGTCTTCTCATACTCCTCGTGGCAGAGAAGATTTGCCGAGACTCGAACGAATTCGGAGAAAAGACCCCTATCCAACTCCGGGGAGCCCTCACTCGACAATTATTCGCACGCAATCCTCAGCATAACTCGGACAGCGAGCTGCACAGAATCACTTCAAGATTTTCGTCGGACGATATCTTCTTAGTTCACCTTCTCCTGGGACAGCAGAGGACTCTCACAGTGACGAATTCAAAAGAATGCAGCGATTGCAATCGCGCGATGAGCTCATGATGAGCTGTGGCAGCGGAAGAGACAAAGCCCGGTGCGGACGAGAGAGACGTTGAGAGAGCAGATGGGGAAGGTGGGAGAAGGTGAGCCTCGGAGCCGGGCAAGGTTCGGTCTCGAACGAGAGGAAAAGAGTGGGAGAGCTTGAATTCGTTTCGGTCGGTCGGCAGGCGGGAGAAAATTCAAACGAATCCTCCCAAAGTACTTAAATGGGAATGACATGAAATTGAAGCCAAGTAATGAAATTCGTTATGTCCTTTCGGTGGCCCCACCGTCTCTGGGTCTTTCCTTTTGGTGCGACTGTCAGACCCCACGTTCGATACAAGAGCCGGACGGACATGCCTCCGGCGCGGAGAATGTTCTCGTAAAGAGCGCCTCTCGATCCGAGGAACATCGGAGTCAGCGTTTTTGAATTTCCATCGGCCCTCGAGTTCAGCCTTCCTCGGATCATTGGTGGACTTTTTGCGCTGCGGTGAGCTCCTCGTTCCCTTGCATTTCACTTTTCATGTCATATCATGTACGTGGGCACGTTACACCTTCCGCTAAATGTCAAGGTCGTAATGTGGCGATCATCAACGATTTGCTCGTGTTCCAATTCACTTCTGCTTTCGTCGAGATCAATTGTACGCGGGATCCATCATTTTTGGGGAGTCTCCGACTTTTTGAACCATTCCGTCGTCCAGACTCCACACACCTCGATGACCGTAGCAGACCCATGCTGTCGAGCCAGCAACGATTCCAAGTGTCACCATTTCCCAGATCGAGCTTCCGTCTTGCTCTAAGCATATACTTATATACAGCCAGTTTCCACGCTCAGTTCCCTAATCGTTGTCTTCATATGGTACTATTCTATACTGCGAGTGTGGCTGAGAAAGAAGGGGCCAAGTAATACAGCCAAAACTACCAAAAACCCATCGATATGCACAACGTTGGAAATTGAAAGTTAATACGGTTCAAGTTCCAATAGCATTACAATAAAGAAATATATTACGCTCAACCCAGGGTATATTTATCATATAGTAAGTGCTTATTACAGACCAATAGGTGCAAACTATTTTCTATCAAAAAATAGGATACAAGATACTGAAGAAACTATAACTTCTTGCTAATATGAATTGCTCTATTGATAATTAATTTCTATTCTAAAACTAATAAATTACGTTGACATTTTTTATTCTAATTGTGAGTTCTTGAATAAAACTAGTTTTTTTAACCAATCATATTAATTTTTTAGTTACTCCTAGCATATATCCATTTTCAAAACATACTATTATTTGTTCGATGCAGAGTTTGAGCTTTCTATTCAAACTCTGCATCCAACTTGTAATGGAAATAAATATATATACTATATTGAATATGACTCAATCGTAATTTTAATGAAACATGTTTAGAAATATATTTCATTTTCGTTTTTTTCTCTGAATACATGCCATTTTTTCCATGCTTTAAAATAAAAATATATTTTCAAAAATTGAGGATAATCCTCACTTTTTAAAAAGGGAAATTTTGACATATATGAGATTTGACATGTATGAAAGATGAAATAAATATATAAAATTGATATACGTGAATTTTTAAATTTTTTTAAATAAATATCTGAGTATGTGTTTTTTCTTCTCACATCTAAAAAATATATCATTGTAATTTTGGTGGAAATTTATTTTGAATACAATAATATTTTTGAGTTTTAAATCTCATTTCATGAAACTATCACAATTTTCATTGGTATATTTTTTGATGTTAATAATATTTTTTAAAAAATTATATTCTTGATAGATGAGTAGTGTGACTACTCTAAGTTTAACAAAATCCAGAAATTCAAGCTTAGTGTTGTGAAATAACTGCTAACTTCATTTGAATGAAATAAACCACTGTAAAGAAGTAAATTCAATAAAATTACTGGTGAATCATTATGTATGAACTGTACATAAAGATCATAAAATAAGATAGTTTTTAAAAATAAATTGACACTTGATTGACAGTCATATGTGAAGGCTTTTTTTCTATGTCTATATATACACAAATAAATATTTTCCAAATAAATTACATATTTTGGGGTAGGAGGTTGAAGTGATGTTGAATATAACTGGACTAAAAGTAGAGTAGTGGGCCTGGGACTTAAACTTTATCAATGACCGGAGTGTTTAGGGTATGTCAAGAGTTTTCTTCATATAACTTACATTGGAAGAGTTGCTAAAAAACATTTTGGATTTATATCTACACATATGAGATGGAAGTATTAAAAGGGACGGTAAAATTCTGTAAGTGATATAAGCCATTTGCAGTTGTGAGTTGCGGTTCAAAGCATGACGTCGAAAACACTTGACTCCCATAAGACACGGATTGATTCCGAAGTGATAAGCGGCCAACTGGTCAACTTCATTGAAGTCTCATTAATAAGTCTTAACAATTTAACGTTAATAGCCTTGATGGTAAGAATACGACATCGGCATTTTTTCCTCTCTCCTTCCAATCGTTGTCAATGAGGTCCAAGTCCATCTTGCATCCGGTCAGTTCGTTACAATTAGATATTAAAGTGGCAAAATCCGGGGATCTGCACAGCCAGGATTACACTTCGGAAGTCCCTTCACTCCACGTTTGGATATGAATGAAATTCGTGTGAATTCAAGGCTTCAGTTGCGATCGTCATCATAAACGCAAGTAAGATTCGTGCAATGTTGTCCACTAAATGTGCTTTTTCCATCAAAGATATTAGTACTGAATGACAATAACCATGATCGCTTGTTCCCTATGAGTTACTTTTGAGAATTTAAAGTGGAAGCGAGTGTACAACAACTATCTAGTGTTTCAGTCATTGTGATAACTAAATTTTAGCTGGTTGAGAGTGAATAATAATAATTTTTTCTTTTGGTTCATGGGTGGTAATGATGGATTTAGTATTGTTTTCTTGATTTAAAATTGAATTATTCTATTTTAATTCCATGTCTTCTTTTAATTAGATATAGCTAAAGATGATTGGATATCAAAAGAAGATATTTTGATAATTCATTATTTTGATAGTCCAACTTGAACTCATGTAAATTGGAGTAAAAAACTTGGAAACTCAATCGTCTTGAAGGTACCGAATAAATTTCCTATGACCCCATTCGACGGTCACCCTAACCCATGTTCTCATAACCTACTGATTTGCTCTATAGAGTGGGGAGTGTCCGCCACCCTCGGCAGAGTATTTTGGCAACTCATTCGCAGCGTTGTCTAAGAAAACTAGAGGCACCATGAGTCTTCGGATATGGTGACTTCATGTTTATTTAGAATAACCCCAGATAGTAATGGAACATCACTAACGGTGGGGCTGCAAGATGGAGTTTATAAACAGATAAAATAAAAGCTGTTGGATCCATCAAGTGTTTTGAGTTTCAACCCAGTACCATAAGTAACTTTCTCTTTGAAATTGATTAAAAAAACAGGATTTTGTAGATATATGAAAATTCATGATAATATCCAAGAGAGTCATTATTATAAATAGCTTAGTGTTTAGATATTCATGTCCAATCTACTTTATATATATCATTATTTATACATTATCTTTTATATTCAACATCACATTACATTAAGATTCATGTATATCAACAAAAGTATAGTCAAATTTATTACCTACTATAAAAAAAATTGCTGAATTCTGCTGATTACGTTTATATAATATTGATTCATGGTATATATTTAATATCCCATAAAATATTTACTATGAAAAGATCATTTATTGTAATTTCCCGGCCTGCCTACTATATATTTATCATTAATTATACATTGACTTATGATGCATTAAATTTGACATCCAGCCCTTGCTTCTTGATATCTTCGCAAAATATATTTAATTTCTCTAAGTCCAGTTCGGAGGCAACAAAGCTGTGCAGTCCTGCGCTGTGCTTGCTAGTCATGTGACTGAGATTTTATTCCGACCTTCGACATTTCAAATGAAAACAGTGTCAGCGAAGTTATATTCTACAATACATAATATGAAATATATATATATTTTCCATAATAATCAGAAAAAAACAATAGTTGCATTTTAATTCATCCAGGTAAAAGTTTACAAAAACATTTTACCTTTTAGTCCTTTACCTATACTGTAAGTCATTGCGGTGACGTCAAAATCACAATCTGTATGAATGCAACGAATGATGATTGCACAATTGATGATATTTGTCATACACTTTCATGCACAATTTTCACTTCCTATATAAATAACTGCTATTATATAATTTCGGTTAAATTATATATCACTTTTTTCATCTTCTATTGTATAACAAAGGTCATATATTAAGTTGCTTTAAGCATTAGAAGCTAAAAATAACGAGCTATATTTTTATCTTGCGAGTTGGAATCAAAGATCATGAGCATTTTATAAAATCACATAAAAAATTGATATGACCACAAATTAAAATTTTAAAATTCCAATTAAATGATAATCCAGCTATAATACATTTTTTTAACGCTGTAATAAGTCAAAATGTTTCTTGAAATACATTACGTCATAGATAATGAGTTATATATTCATTGTTTATGCCATATTTTTAACTGCGTCATATGATTTCACATACATCTGGCAAAAAAAAACTTCCATTTCATTAAACTTTCAATCTGAAAATTTGATACATCAATTTTGTCTCATGTTTTTTATAATACTGCACTGTGATCTCATCAGGCTTAAAGCAAAAAAATTGATTAAAATGCATATAATTAATCTGATGTGAAGTCAATTAATACTATAATATTGTTGTCAGACTTTTGGTTGATGTAAAATACTAAAGCTATCGTAGTTTCTTGTTGATAATTTAAGTTTTAGCTGATACTGATTCAGAAAGACAACACACGTAATTTGATTATTTGTTATTTTTGGATTTTTTTCATCTTCTGATTTTTATCCTTATAAATTCATTAATTATTTTCACACATAAAATATAAAAATTTGAGACATCTTGAAAAGATTCAAATATTTTTTGGATCATTAAGATCTTCATCAATATCAACTTTTTTGTATAATTAAAAAATTCAATGATCTAATATTTTACATATTAAATTTATTTTAGATTAAAAAAATTGTATTATATTTTTCTAATTATTATTGAATCTATATTTTATAAATTTTGTTTAATATTAAAAAATATATTTTATATTTTAATTTGATATTGTAAGGTAATTAATTGTTCGACGTTTGATAAAAATCAAC